TGGCTACATTAGGGGTGTGTGGCCTAAGATGCAAAGGAGTTCCTGCTACAAAAAAGCCCTGGGTTTGGACAACAAACAAGGTAAAATGAATAAGAAACAAAAGGTGGGTGTGGCTGGATGACCACACATCTAGTAACATGGGGGTGAAGCCTAATGTGCTAATGAGCTGTGCTGTCAGGGGTGTGCCTTATATGCTAATGAGTTTCTGCTGTTTAAAAATGCCACAAATTGGGCTCGCTCTGTGGCAGGCTGAGGTCCCCCCCCCCCCATAGCTAGCAATCCAAAACAGTTCAGTGGAGGCTGAGCGGTGGGTGTTGCCTTCTGCCACACTTCCGGTGATGTCAGGGGGTGTGACATATGCAAATAAATTATGCTAATGAGTTATGCTAATGAGCTCCTGCACCTCTTTTTCTATGAAATGACCCCTGGTGACAATCAGTGCTCCCTCTAAGCTGTGGAGTCTTGTGAGCAAAAATTCTACTTTGTGAGCTACAGACATTCAAGTTGTGAGCGAGCGATTTGGCTACTGCATAAATCAGTTTGCTCCGGAGCCATCCTTCCTGAGATAAGACAAAAATCTGTGAGCCAGAGGCTAAAAAACGGTGACACACTACCTCAGCTTAGAGGGAACACTGGTGACAACACGGACACTAGCCTTTTGATACCATCCAGTGCCAGTTTTTATTGCATATGCAGAACTGGAGGGGTTTTTTGTCCCTGTCTAGGGATGGCACAAACTCGGGAAATGTGGTTCGGCTCCTGGCATGCCCGGTTTATGAACTACAAACTGTCACAAACTTTTAGGAGTCAAACAAACTGGTTCGGATTCTGGTATGGTAGAACCCCTCCCCCGACACGCTAGAGACACCAAACTCTGAGGGGATCTCCAGCTGACTCTCCTCTACCTGCCCTCCGATTTTGGTGAGGATTGGATTTACAGGGTCCAAGTTAGAGGCCCCCAAAGAAGGTGCCCCCCCGAAAGTGATCCCTGGGGAAATGACAGGCCGTTGTTTTAACAGGTGCAGGATCAGGAGTGCACAGAACAGATCCTGTGCAAGCTAGAGACATCAAAGTCACAGGGGACCTCCCCCAGATGCTCTTCGACATGCCCTCCAAGTTCTGCCACCCATTGCTTTGAAGTTTGGTAAACATTTAGATTGCGTGGAGACAGTCTGTTCAGAGAGCTGGTGTGTTGTCACGGTTAAGAGCAGCGGACTCTAATCTGGAGAACCAGATTTGATTCCCTGCTCCTCCACATGCATCCAGCTGGGTGACCTTGGGTCAGTCACAGTTCTCTCAGCCTCCAAAAGTAACCCTAACATGCCACAAAAAGAGCGAGAGTTTCAGGCTGCCAGACAATCTTTGGATCTCCTGGCTATACTACACTCACTGCCATATGATAATTACTTTATCTGTATCCTCTCAAGAACAGACCTCTGTGAACTACTTAAAAGTTCATGGAAAGTTAATACTGGTTGACCTACCATGAACCGCACTTTGCAAACCACAAACCAGCCAAAATTTGTCACAAACTTTAGTATGTGAGCCGGTTCGTGCCCATCCCTATCCCTGAATGGGACTCAGCTCTGAAGATAAAAGGAACGCTTGACCTAATTGCCATGAGAGAGTTTCCATAATCAGTTCCTTCAATTAAAAAAAAAATTATGTCCATCTTCACGTTTATTGTAGATAGTGCTAATGAAACACAAAAGGGAACAGGTAGTAACGCTGAGATTTTGTGCTTGCCTGTCCACATATTAACCTTATGTCCCCAGATCTGGCACCTGCAGGAAGTCTATACCCCCCCCCCTCCGAACCTAGAATGCCACGGATCTTTCCTAGAGCAGAAATCTCTACTTTGGCTGTGCTCCATTTCTTTTGTGTGGTATTTCAACAGTCTTTCCCTCCCAGAAATGAGACAGCAAGAAGAGGTTCCGGGCTCCGGCCCAATCCCTGAATGATTTTGTTGGCTTTTGTATATAAAGCTGGTGGCCAACTTGCAAAATATTGGCAAGCTAAATCTGTAAGTCATGGAAAATATGGGTTTCCATCGCTTACAGTTTCTTCCAAGGCCTGAGCTTATAAAATTAAACAGAGCAGAAGGAGCCAGGAATACTGTCCAAGGCTGTCATTAGCATATGAAATTAAAACAGACATTTGCAAGGGAAGAAAGTCAGCCTGAATGGAGCTGGGCCTCACCAGCACTGGAGCTTGGGGTCCTTTTCAGAAGGTGACGTGGAGTCTTGGAGATGGAATTGTGTATCTTGTGCATCAGAGGGGCCAGTTTGGTGTATGGGTCAGGAGTGTGGACTCTTATCTGGGAGAACCGGGTTTGATTCCCCACTCCTCCACATGCAGCCAGCTGGTGTAACCTTGGGTCAGTTACAAGTTCTTTCAGAGCTGTTCTCCCAAGGACAGTTCTCGAGAGAGGTCTCTCAGCCCCACCTACCCCACAGGGTGTCTGTGGTGGGGAGGGGAAGGGAAAGGAGATTGTAAGCCACTCTGAAACTCCTTCGGGTAGAGAAGGGCAGGATATAAATCCAATCTCTTCTTCTTTTTCTCCTCCTCCTCCTTCTCCTATTTGAGTAGGAACAACATTCGTCTCTTGTGCCAAAAGGTCCCCCTGACCAGCATCACAAACATATATACAGACATGCCTCTCTAAAGAGCACTCGTTCAATATCGAATGGGCAAAAATCTGAGCAAGGCTGCTTGTGGGGATGAGGGAAGTAAAAGAATCAAGGAAGCTGCTCACTATAAGTTGGGAAATGCTTCTGGCCTTTCAAAGAGTCCTTCTTATTCAAGTTACACATTTCTAGTACTAACAATTCATAGACACCAAAATACACAAAGACACTCGGGCTTTCCTAGGTCCAGGGCTTTTTTTGAAGAAAAAGCCCAGCAGGACTTCATTAGCATAATAGGCCACACCCAACAGCAGAAACTCATTAGCACATTAGGCCACACCCCTGATAGCACAGCTCATTGGCATAGGCCACACCCCCATGTTACCAGAAGTGTGGTCATCCAGCCACACCCACCTTTGTCTTGTTATTCTGTTTTTGTTTGTTGGCAAAACCCAGGGCATTTTTGTAGCAGGAACTTATTTGCATGTTAGGCCACACACCCCTAATGTAGCCAGTCCTAATGAGTTTCTGCTGTTAGGTGTGGCCTATTATGCTAATGAGTTCCTGCTGGGCGTGGCCAACTCAGGAGCCAGCCGGAACTCCGTTCCTGTGCGTTCCTGCCCAAAAATAGCCCTGCCTAGGTCCATATAGAAGTTTCAGTTAGCTACGAAGAAATCACTGGTTTTCCATTCATTTGTTTGATTTGAAGACCCAGCTGGGAATCTGGGAGCTCCTGTGATGGAAAAGATTGTACTGGTGAGTACAATCTCTTTACAACCATGTATGCACACCTGAGTTCTTTGGAAGAAAGGCAGGATAGAAAACATGATTTTTAAAAAATAAGGGGATACCTTTCCTGCATATCACTGGAGCATGCCTGGTGGCTTAAAACACATTACAAATGTCCTACATAGATTACCATGATAATCAGGGATCATTTTGTAGACAAAGAGATGCAGGAGCTCATTAGCATAACTCATTAGCATAACTTATTTGCATATGCCACGCCCCCAGACATCCACCGGAAGTGTGTCAGAAGGCAACACCCACCGCTCAGGCTCCACTGGACTGTTTTGGATTGCTAGCTCTTGGGGGGGGGCGACATGCAGATCTGTCCTCGCAGAGGAGGGAGAGCTTGTACCCGAATAAAACTTGGTCTTAAAGGTGCCACTGGACTGTTTTGGAACGAGGGGCCAGGGGGAGCTCTGCAACTTACCTGGCTGCTTCTTGCTCTGACTGAAGGCTGCTGGGAGCAGGGGGTGGGGCTTGTTGCATGTGCCCACCCCCTGGGCTCTTTACTGCCAGAGCTCTGCTCCTGTGCGCTCCTGCAGGAAATGACCTCTGTATGTGAAGCAGTTTGAAAAGAGAATGGGCCATACAAATGCTGAGTACTGGCAGTATTACCAAACAAAAGTGCTACTGGGACTGTCTCCTCCAATATGTCCCCAGGAGAACGCTATGCTCTTCGGATAACAATGTGCTGGTGATCCCTGGCCCTAAAGATATCTGGCTGTCATCGACCAGGGCCAGGGCCTTTTCAGTCCTGGCCCCAACTTGGTGGAAGTCTCTGCCAAATACCACCAGGGCCCTGCGGGATCTTAGGCAATTCCGTAGGGCCTGCAAGGCAGAGATGCTCCACCAGGCTTTTGGTTGAGGACAGTGACAGTTTACACCTTAGGGTGGCACCTTCTTCCCTCCTCTCCTCAGGGTCTTCAGTTCCTCCCCCCCAAACACACCCATGAGGTGATCACAGGCCAGACACAGGGAAATCTGCAAATTTCGCCACTTGATTTTTTTTTTATATTAATGTATTGAATGATTAGAGGCAGTATTAAGACTATTTGTATTTATTTTATAGTTTTAATGTTTTACTATGTTATATATCACCTAGAGCCCTATGGGACTGGATGATTCATAAATGTATTATAATAAACAAATAAGATGAACAAAATAATAATTGCGGGGAGAGATTACACGACACTGGGAGCGTAAGAAAGGAAAAGATTGTGTGTGTGTGTGTGTTATGCGCCATATTCTTTGCAATCTCTGATCATTGTACTTCGTAAAGGGAGCCTTGACTCTCCAAAGTTTATACCCTGGAAACCTTGTTGGTCTTTAAGGCACTACTGGACTCAAATCTTGTTCTTCTACTACAGATTAACATGGTTATTCTGCCAAAACCATCTATCAATGGTGTGTTCTTCCTTGAACATGGGGGAGTGCAGAGTGCAGCTATGCATAACTCGACAATGGAGCAAGTTCACCGCTGTTCTCGTCTACTTTCCCCCAAACACTTAAAATCGGTTAGTCGTTTATAAACTCTGCAGGTGATGCTATGCACACTGTCCTGATATCTTGTTTCTTCCTTTGCAGATGGAGGGGGCCAGCAGGCAGTTTCCCTAATGCAAACTCTGATGTTCCGTAGAGATCGGTGGAAACAATGAGAGTTCAACTCAAAGGTGATGCAATCTGCACACTGTTCCTGGTGGTAGCTCTTTGCACCATGCTCTATTCACAGCTGGGCCACACTTCCGTTAGAGAAGAAAAGGCGAACGGCCAGAGAAAGCCACCAGCAACTTCCCGGATCTTCCCCATTCCTGCAGCCCTCCAGCAACGGCTGAATGCAGGAGCGACAGCAGCAAAGCCCAGAACTATCTCAGAAGTGAAACGTGCCAAGGTGGAAATCCAAGAGGACTTGACTACCACTCTGGCACCCTTGACACATTCTGCTTTTGATTTTAAGGGTTACCTTAGAAACAAAGATAATCGGAAGTTTGAACTCCTTGTTAATCAGCCAAAGAAGTGCAGGACAAACCCAGGTGGCCCCTTCTTGCTCATCGCCATCAAATCACTGGTGGAGGACTTCGACCGCCGTGAGGTTGTACGGAAAACTTGGGGGAGAGAAGGGCCCGTCAATGGAGCACAGGTGCAAAGGGTTTTCCTCCTGGGGGTCCCAAAGAACAAGACATCGCTGCCCATGTGGGAGACTCTTGTCCGTCAAGAGAGCCAGATGTACCGGGACGTCCTGTTGTGGGGCTTCCAGGACACTTTCTTCAACTTGACCTTGAAAGAGATACATTTCCTAAGCTGGGCGGAAGAGTTCTGCTCCAACGCCAAGTTCATATTCAAAGGCGATGCCGATGTTTTCGTTAATGTGGAAAATATCGTCAACTTCCTGGAGAAGCAAGATCCCTCTGAGGACCTCTTTGTTGGGGACATCATCTACAATGCACATCCTATCCGAGTGCGGAAGAGCAAGTACTATATCCCAGAGTCTATGTACGGGCTAGGCATGTATCCAGCCTATGCAGGGGGTGGTGGGTTCTTACTGTCCTGCAGTACCATGAAGAAACTCTCTCGGGCCTGTGGGGAGGTGGAGCTGTTCCCCATTGACGATGTCTTCTTGGGCATGTGCCTGCAAAGGATCAACCTGAAGCCCGTCATGCACGAGGGATTCAAGACTTTTGGCATCACCAAGCCTTCTGCCGCCCCTCACTTGCAGACTTTTGATCCCTGTTTTTACAAGGACCTCATGGTAGTCCACAGCCTGAAGGTCGCTGAAATCTAGCTGATGTGGAACCTGCTCCACAACCCACGGCTCTCTTGCACCCAGAAGAAGCAAGTCAAGAAGGCTTTCAAATGGAAGATCAGAGCAAAACAGAATGGGAAAGGTCATGCTGCCTAAGGGACAGGTTCACACACATGCATGGACTGTCATCACTTGATGCAACCTCAAGTGATGACTTGCATGTGTGAATGATTCATCGGGGGGGGGGACGACTATCATTATAGAGTGTTCTTGTCATCCACTGTCACATCAAACACAAGAGTTTTCACCAGGCTTTAATCAACATGCACGAAGGAATCAGACCTTAGCCCTGCAGATGTGCGTGGGTTGTGCAAACAAGGAGAGAGGACAGGGTCGGGGATTAGCACTACTGGAGAAAGTGAAGAAGAATTAGGATGCATAAGCAAAGGGAGCTTTATCCAGGAAGGGGGATACATTAGAAGCAGAGGTACATTTGAAGGAAAGCTTTCTCAAGCAAAATCATTCAGACCCGAGACACAGGTAGAGAAACACCAGTTCTGCACTGTGGTTTCTTTTGCTGTGATTTCCAGTGCCTGTCGATGCTGACATGCATCAATCTCCCATCTATTATTGAATCATCTCCCCTGTTGTGTCATGGAACTCAAGGCACCGTATATGGGGTTCCCGGGTCACTCATCCAACCACTGACTACTCTCAGACCTGCTTGGCTTCTGCAAGGTAGCTGCATCATAAACCCGTGGAATGTGCTGTGGGTCAATCTCAGTTGCCCTGCAGTAGCTGAACCCAGAACAAGCTTATCGTTGTCCACTTCGGGGATTATTGCTAAGAGGCACTGATCTCCGATGACCCATGATAGTGGCTTCATGCCACTGTTTTGTCAGGTGACACTGCAACCATCACATCAGCAGGGTATGCGAACTCATGCTTGCCCCACTCCCAAGCATACACAGTGCTTCTGCAAGCTGTGGCATCCCTGCCACCCAAAACATACATTCTTTCAGAAAACCCTACATCTACTCTGTATAGCAAACCAGTATTATTTTCATATTGCAGCATGAGAGAACAGAGGTTTAGCCAAGTACAATGATCCTCCAACATGATACCCGCCATGGGCACTAATGTGTTTTTGGGTGGCCACTCCCCTGTTTTAAAAAGCATCTCTTCCCCAAAGCAGAGGGCTTTCTTCCATCCCTGTGGAGCAGGAGCTGCTTCAGAAAAGCCCAGGAGGCATCATCTTTGTGCCTGCAGGGCATTTGGAAATAGGTGCCTCCATCGTTGGAGGACTCTTTGCATTGAATCTCCCAACACTTTTTCCTCCATGGCAACCATTTTTGGTTGCCCCCCCCCTGTTTTCAAAACACCAAATCTGTCCACATGTTCAGCAAGGCCAGATATATACATTTCTTGGCCGGAGTGAGCTTTCTCAGCTCACAGCCATTATGCTGCAGTACCTCTCTGGATAGAAATTCTTGCAAGGATAACCCCATGAGCAGGAAAACAACTATGATACGTGTGGTGTGATCATAGGGACAATTCCCAGAAATTAGCTGTTGTAGATTTTCCAGGTTGTTGTATGGCCCTGGTCTCGGCATTGTAGGACCTGATGTTTCACCAGTAGCTGTGACTGGCATCCTCAGAGGTATAACACAGAAAGATGGACTACTCTCTGTGTCAAGGGACTCCATCTTTCTGTGTTATACCTCTGAGGATGCCAGTCACAGCTACTGGCAAAACATCAGGTCCTACAATGCCAAGACCAGGGCCATAATACAACCTGGAAAATCTACAACAGCTAATGAACTCCGGCCGTGAAAGCCTTTGACAACATAATTCCCAGAAACCCATACATGCAAAATATGGGAGAATCAGCCCAAAGACAAGACAGCTCTAGAGAAGGCTGCCCAAATTTCACCACGGTGCACCATAAACTGCATGACCACTACCGCTGCTTTAATGGCACGTAGCCTGTGGAGCTAGATTTAACCGGTTGGGCTCGTGAAAAGGTGTCTGTTGTGGGGAGGGGAAGGGAAAGGAGATTGTAAGCCGCTCTGAGACTCCTTTGGGTAGTGAAGGGCGGGGTATCAATCCAATCTCTTCTTCTTCTCTATTAAGAAGGCATGTCTGTCGGACCAAGGAAGATGTTGATACGCCTGCCTGTAGACATTAAGAGCTTGTTTACAGGACAACGGTTAAGCATAATCGTAGGTACTTTTGTCTGTAACAATGAGGAAGGTCCAAACTACTGTGCTTAAAATTACAATTGTGATTTCAGCAAAGGATGCAAATGGAATGGGCCTGTTTCTCCACTTGCCTGCCCTGCTGTGTCTCTTTACCCCCTCACCTCCCTCCCCCTTCCATGCTTGTGTCAGATTTCGATTCTCAGCTTCCCCAGGGCAGTGACCTGCTCTGTAAAACACCATGCATGTGAGTGGGTAATATATAAACCAATAACAGGGCAAGGAATACGTACTTTACCTAGCCCAGCCTTGCTAACCCCCAGGTGGTGGCAGGAGACCTCCCACTATTACAACTGATCTCCAGGTGACAAGAGATCAGCTCCCCTGGGGAAAACGGCCACATCAGAAGGGGGACTCAATGGCATCGCACCCTGCTGATGTCTCTCCCCTCCCCAAACCGGACCCTCATCAGGATCCACCTCCCCAAATCTCCCGGCATTGCTCATCTTGAACCTGTCAACCCTAACCTAGCCCAGTAATGCAGAAGCATTAAAACAAAACATAAGAGCAGAGGTCATTTCGGGGGGAATCGCGGGGGATCGCAGTTCCCCCGGGTGAGGTATGGTGGGCGGGGCACATGACGAAGCCCCGCCCCTGCTTCCGGCCGCCCCGCTTCCGGCCCTCATTCAGCCAGGAGGAGGCAGGAGAAGAGGGAGGGTAAGTTGCTTCCTCCCTGCCTCTCCCCACCCCTGCCTGCCTGGGGCCAGGGAGGGCCTTCGCGGGGCTTCCTTGCACTCCCGCCGGCCTTGCAGGTCCACCGCCGGGCCCCTCATGGGGCTCAGCAGTGGAGCTTCAAGGCCAGCGGCGGCGGCCGGGACTGTTGGGGGCGGGGTGTGTGGCCTTAATACACACTTCCGGTGATGTCAGGGGGTGTGGCCTTATGACACACTTCCAGTGATGTCAGGGTGTGTGGCATATGCTAATGAGTTATGCTAATGAGTTCCCCTAGCTCTTTTTCTACGAAACGACCCCTGCATAAGAGGAAAATACAGACAGCATCTACAAGCTTGCCAGATTTAAAACCAGCAGTTTACTGTTTGAGTGGGAGAGCTGTTTTGACACAGGGTATTAACGTTAAGCGAAACCAACCAAATGTTAAGCAAAATCAACCCCAAAGTGGCGATCAGCCAGTTTGGTGTAGTGGTTAAGTGCACGAACTCTAATCTGGGAGAACCGGGTTTGATTCCCCACTCCTCCACTTGCACCTGCTGGATGACCTTGGGCAAGCCATAGTTCTGGCACAGCTGTTCTTGAAAAAGAACAGTTTCTGTCAGAGCTCTCTCAGCCCCACCTACCTCACAGGGTGTCTGTTGTGGGGAGGGGAAGGGAAAGGAGTCTGTAAGCCGCTCTGAGACTCCTTTGGGTAGTGAAGGGCAGGGTATAAATCCAATCTCCTCCTTCTCCCCCTCTTCTTCTTCCATGGTCAGGGAAATGCTGATCACCACTTTGGGGCAAGGAAGCAATTTTTCTTCAGCCCAGTTTGACTGGAGATTCTGGAGGGTTTTTGTCATCTTCTGGGCGTGGGACAGGGGTCACTGGGGTGTGTGTGGGGGGAGGTATTTGTGAATTTCCTGCATTGTGCAGGGGGTTGGACCAGATGACCCTGGAGGTCCCTTCCAACTCTATGATTCTATAATTCTAAGGCAGACCAGGAAGCTGACATGGCCCCAGGGTAAGCCAGGCTGAGTAGCCCCAACTGCATTACAAGCCAGCACTGCAGGGACCTGTCCTGCAGCACCAACAATTGGGTTGGCAGCAGTGCAGGAAGACAAAACTGAGGAGCTGACTCCCACCAGTGGTGAAGCCGGCCAAGTTGCTGGGGCTTGGCTCTGCTTGCTCCTGACTGCCAGGGGCCTTCTAGGCAGTGGCCCATCAGTAGATTTCCCTGTAAAATAAGTGACCTGTCGGCCCTGGCAATTAATCACATTTTCATCCTCACCTTTAGGGTTTTCAGCCTAAAAGCTGGAGATCTCCTGGGATTGGGAGTGGTGGCTGGAGATCTCCTGGGATTACAACTGATCTCCAGGCAACAGAGATCAGTTCATCTGGAGAAAATGGCTGCTTTGAAAGGTGGAGTCTAGGACATTACACCCCATTTAAGTCCCTCCTCTGAGAGCCGGTTTGGTGTAGTGGTTAAGTGTGCGGACTCTCATCTGGGAGAACAGGGTTTGAGTCCCCACTTCTTCACATGCAGCTGCTGGGTGACCTTGGGTCAGTCACAAGTTCTCTCAGAGCTGTTCTCTCAAGAGCAGTTCTCTCAGAGCTCTCTCAACCCCACCTACCTCACAAGGTGTGAGGAGAGGAAGGGAAGGAGATTGTAAGCCGCTCTGAGAATCCAAGTGAAGGGCAAGGTATAAATCCTACTACTTCCTTGTCTTCTCCATCTCCCCAAACCCCACTCTCCTCAGGCTCCATCCCCCAAATCTCCAGGTGTTTCCCAACCCGGAGCTGGCAACCCTACCACCTTTCCAGAAAGAGCACAACACAATGGTCTCCGCTCCTTCATTTTTAACAACCCATTCAGGCAGGTGAAGCTGAGTATTTGGCTAGAGGCCACCAAGTGTTCTTCGTGGCTACATGGAGATTTGAACCCATGCCTTAGCCCAGTATTCTCATCTTTATTTCACACTGGCTTCTCAGGGAACCAGCAGGAACAGAGGTCAGATACAAATGCCTTGCAAGTCACATGAGCCAACACCACAATAAAACAGGAGCCAGAGAACTGGTAAATAAGGCCCTGGAGATGCCGCTCGACTCAGCCAAACCAGACGTGCTCATTTAACAAGACTAGCTCCTGCTCTCCAGTGTGAACGCTGAACAGGATGCATGAGGCTCCCCCAGTTGCCATAAAAAGTTCTGTGCTATATTAAACACACTCTTTAACCCTTGTGCTTTCTTGGAAGCCTTCTGGTGTTCTGTTTTACCTTTTGAAAGACGCAAAAAAAAAAGTTTTAAGGGTGCCTCTGGGTTTTTCACTCCCTGTTTCCTAGATGAGTTTGGCAGCCTCGTTGAAGAAGGCACTTTTGAATGCTGGACGATTGGCATACCAGAGAGCGAATTTCCTCTATCTGGATAGTTGAACCTTCTCAAGTTTCTCTAAACTTCTGATTAATGAGGCTCACTTTTTTTCTGAATGAAAAATGGAGACCACCGTTTTTTTCAGTGCACAGGATCCGCTCCTTGTGTTTCAAAAGACTGCTGTCCTTGGCATGCTTTCTCGGAAGGGAGGTTTCTCTTCTGCCTCTCTTAATCGGGAGGAGGAGGAGGAGGACCTAGTCATTCCCAACAGAGATACAGCAGAAGTGATTGCCTCAAGGGATGCAGAGAACTTCATGGTTGGCCGGTGAGCATGCCATTTTAAACAGCCGCAATCCCATCTGAGCCTTATCTTGCATTATGTGGTCACCATCCATGATGAACAGCATGCCGAACAGCTTTGTGGCCGCACAGTAGCTGTGGTGGCGGCATTTCGTTTCGTTTTGCCTTGAGGCTGCTTTTAGGGTTGCCAGCCTCCAGGTGGCACCTGGAGACCTCCCACTATTAGAATTGATTTCCAAATGACCAAGATCAGTTCCCATGGAGAAAATGGCTGCTTTGGAGGGCGAACTCTATGGCTGAGGTTCCTCCCCTCCCCAAACCCCACCCTCTGTAGGATCCACCCCCAAAATCTCCAGATTTCCCAACCCAGAGCTGACAAACCTGGTTGCTTTGCATTCGGTAGGTGAAATACCATGGATGGTTGGGTCAGGTAATTAAAAGATAGTGGGCGGGGGGGGGGAATCAAACTACAACTCCCATAAGGCTGTGCAAAAACACACATGCAAGAAACGTGGACAAAGATGAACACCAAGCAGGAAAACATTTCAGATACCCAGGGTGTATAAACCAATGACTAGTTTTCACACTCCAGGTAGCAGGCTATGGAGTGGCATGCCGTGATGACTGGTGTTTTGAAGGGGGAAACTGGGATTCCCATCGGGCTGCGGGAGAACACACTGTGTGAAATGCTGCTGACCAAGTGATATCTAAGCTTGGTATACAAATATTTTAAACAGCACCAGTGGGCCTAATGGCTCAGACATGAGCTCTAAATAGGAGGATGGTGCACAAGGAGACACAGCAATTCTGCATTTGTGGCATTCTTTCCAGGACACCGAGACTGGTGGGGAAGCAAACTAGTCGAGTGGGACTGGTATGGGCTGCAGAGGGTACCAGCTGGTCACCTCTTGGCGAGCTCATGTTCCCTTAAGATCTCGTCTCAC